GACGGAAACGTAGAGTAGGAAGCTTGATAATGAGGTTTTCTTCAGAGAAACAAAAACTCTGATAGATAAATGTATATTTCTTTTTTTTTCAACAGTAATGTTTTAATCATTAAAATACCAGAGACTGTAATTTGAACGGTACTCCACGGGGACTCAATAGTATCTATTAGTAAGCTTGAAGGCTTATAATACTAAAATGACTCGGAGTTTGACTCTTGCGGTTGTCACAACACCAATAGCTCTCCGTGCAGCTTTTGGTATAACAGCAAACAAACACTTTGGTGATAAAAATTACTTTGGCACTAGCAAACAAATTCGCTAAGGCCTAAGCTGATTGTGAAAATTTTAATATATTTTTTATCTCATTGTCTACTGAAAGTTAACTTATTCCAGTAAATTCGACTCTTAATTAATAAATAATAATCACTGAAAATCCAGATGATTGTGAGAAGGTTTTAGCTCAGTATGATAAAATATTTCACCTACCGAGCTCAAGAAATATCCGAAATACAAATAATGGAGCAGTGTTTAATAAGACACAAACTGTCAATGCTCACTATTTGGCTGTACAGTTTCTTAAAATTTCAAAGAATTTATGTTTCTTCGACTGTATACTTTGAAGTTTACGAAACAAAACGAAGGAAAGCACTTATGTCTATTTGTGCATTTTTAGATTGGGTGTGTATTACATATGAGTACTTATTTAATTCTTATTAACGACTTCAGTTTAAATAAAAACGTTATTCTTATATCAAACAGAAAACGAAATATTTTTTGCGTAATTAAACACTCTAACCCTGGGGAACGAAAATTCATAATTAATTCTAGGAAGATATTAATGTGATTTATCTAGTGTTAAACTATTGATGTGATGTATCCAGTTCATTATTTTTACATTCTTACTTAGAAATATAATGTTTCTGAATGTAATTATGTTCATCTATTTTTATCGTAGTATTTAATTGCGTTATTTTATCTCACCAGTTCTCATTTTTCCTACCATGAACTAATTTCTTCATTTTATTTAAATCTGGACTTGCCGTGAGCAGCATCAGCAGCACCTTTGCTGAAAGAGGATAACATTCAAAAGATGTATTTCAACTATGACGAACAGAAACCTTCATTTAAAAGAACAGTGTCGTATAATTTTGTTTTACTTCAGACGCTAAAGTACATTGTTTTATAATACATAGAGGGACCATAAAAAGGGGCATTTATTTATACTTTAACACAAGAGAACAAAACAGTCTGCAATTTCATACAACAAGCTACTAAATATGCACAAGAATATTGACACCAGATTCCCCCATCTTTTAGTACCTGTTCAGGAAGAGGGAAGTATTAAAATTATTTAAATTCAATTCATTTAAGTAAGATAAGTTAGCAAGGCTTTTAAAAATTATTCATTATTCACATATATGGAAAAATGTTTTTATTATTTTTTCAGGAAACTCGAAACAGTTCGTAGCATTTGATATAGAATGAAAAATTTCGGAACGAATAACAATATTTTCGTCCCTAAAGAACGTTACAGAGTTCTGTCGTTTTCATGAATGTTAACAAGATCGGATTCAATATTCAACGATGTGTGAGCCACTACTTACAGTATAGAAAATTAAAATTATCAAACCTGATGCTATAAGCTAAGAAATCTTATCAGTAATCTTCCTAGAATGTCACACAGTGAGTAAAATAAGCATTTTAACAACGGAGTTTTCAAAGATTTAGCACATTATTTATTGCTATAAGAGGAGTTTAAAAACATCCAAGTTGTTTATTTGGTCATTACACTTTTTCCCTCTTCCTCTTACAAACAGGACTCATCTTCTTGTTTACAAACTCATTTTTTTTTAATTTATCTCATAATTTGTTATGTACGAATGAATAATGGTCCCAGGGTTCGAGCCCTGATGAATGAAATGTGTGTGTGGAGGGAGAATAAGTGGTCTTACCAAAAGAGCTACAATTAACAAACACACACACACACACACAGTAAAGTACTTTTTGAATTATTTAACTTACCTACCCATTAAATTGGTATCAAAACTTGTTAAGTATAGAAATATCACTACATGTTAACACTTTTCTCTTTAAAATTAGCTGTAAGAGGATCACCTGCAATTATGTAATAATATGGACCGCTTTTCTAGCTTTTCATTATATTTTTGTGAAAACTGAAACTGTAAACATGAAGGAAATAGAATTCCAGTTATGAAAGACATAATATTGTGATCTAGTTCAAACACAACTTTCTTATAATTTACAATTTATTTATTAACTTTATAAGGTTAATGTATTCGAGCTTGGCCCAGGATTAGTGTGCTGGACAGTGTATTTAAGGGCCCACGTTTGCATCCCTTTAGCACAAAAAAGTGCCCTGCGCTTTGGAACCATATGCACGTTGTAAGAGTGGCTATAAAATCTCACTATTCGTTTAGACTAGAATAGGCCACTAGTTGGCGATGAGTGTTGTTGAGTGGCTACCTTTCATCTTGTGAGATAGTGAATTCTGTTTTTATTTGGTTATGGTTTTGTTTAATATTCATCTATTATTTCCTTCTATCGCTTAGTTTATCTATAAAGTTTAGTTACAATTAAAACGCTAATTCACCTTCCGATGATCACGTTTATTTTGAGAAAATATGCAGGTACTATGAGGTAGTTTCCCCTCGCAGTGACGTACAGATATCATTAATGTTGCACAAGAGTATGTAAGTTATGTACAGATATTTTGCACAGGATTATGTAAATAACAGCCACATGATTTGTAATCTCGTGATCTAACAAATGAATAAAAACCCGACATTGGGCTTTAAAAATTTAGTTCACAAGATACAGCTGAACAGTATTATTGCTGATTATTACTCGATGTTGTTAGTGATTCTGTAGTATAATTACGGAATATCGTTATTTTGAAATTAGTTTTTTTTATTTGTATGGTTCTTTTTTCCCCCAATTTCTTTACTTATTGAAATATTTATTAACCTGTATTTATGTATTGTATTATTAATTAAAATTTGGTTCAAGTCCTGGCCAGGTACATATTCTTTACTGTGTTTTGATAAGTTATCAACTTTTATATTTCAACAGTTTTATGTCTGTGGTAGTTAAAATATAAAAAAGTTGTAAGGTCGATAGATGATTTCTAGTAAAATGTAACCCTTGTGTTTAAATTTGGCGTCAGTTTCATAAGTCATCCTTTTTGTTTTATATTACTAAGTAGATATACGATATTAAATACAAGATAATAAATTACCTGTATTTTATGACGTTTCTCAAATCCCTAGTAACTAACAAATGACTGAAAACTACAAACTCTAGTTTCAAGCAAGGATCCTGATACTTGCATGGTTTAATGAATATTTTTTCTCATTCTAGGATTTCAATTGCCATATAACTTCGAGTGTAACTAGAGAAAATCTCACATGTGTTACACATGATATTGGCTAGGTCGGAGTGAGGTGAAAACACACGAACGCGAGTTAAATTTAGGAAGGCTAGAATACTTTGTCGTGAAACATATCTACAAATATTACATTTGTCGAGATTATGTAAATCATACTGGAAATAATTGCGTGTGTATAATTTAGTATATAGGGTTAAACTAAATTATATCATAAGTGTCTGCCCATGTAATAAGTTTTAGTAATGCGCATGACTTAAACTTGACTTAACTGAATTAAATTGAGAACGCATGTACATGTGTATGAACGTCATGTGGTTAGGTTGAAACATACTCGCATGTATTAAACAGAAATGCGTACTCGTGTGCTAAACGTAATGTGGCTAACTTAACTTACTAGTGTATGTGTGATTTTGTGTGTAGGAATCAATAAAGAACGAGAGATCTGTGAGGTTTACAGCTCAAATGTGTTAAAAATTGACATTCAGAAAAGTAAAATTAATATACAATTAACTGAGAGATGTACGAGTAGAAAATGAGTAGTTTGATTATTTCTTTTCAATTTTTTATTTTTGAAAATTTTCTTTACTCTTATATCACACCAGCTCTTCTCTTTCATATTAATGCTATACTGGAAAAAGCATCTCTAAATTTTGAACACTTCACAACATCTTAACTCTAAGTTTTCGAATACGAAAACTATGGGAATGAATTACTCTGTCTACTTTTCTTGCCCGAATATCTTATTTTCCTTTGAACACTTCACATCTTAACTCTAAGTTTTCGAATACGAAAAATATGGGAATGAATTACTCTGTCTACTTTTCTTGCCCGAATATCTTATTTTCCTACCAACATTTTTATGTAGAACTGTCTGATTTATGAAATTCCATTGCCGATTCCAAGATGAAATATTAATTTCTAAAAGTGTGCCGATTTTTTTCATACCAGGCAAGATAAATACACTACTCGAAACAATAGAAGGATGGTCGACACTTGTAATATAGCTATGATAAAAATCATTTTAATTACCTCTCAGTTAATTTTTATGCAAATCAGACAATTAAAAATCAGTCATGTGATGTAAAACGTTACGAAGTGTAAAGATATAAACCCGCATCTTCAAATGCTTGTTTACGAAGGATGAATAACCAATTACATACATTTAAATCTCATGACTGATTATCAGGTGTTTGATTTACTTAAAAATTACCCAAGGGAGAACTGTTATTATTTCATAGCAATGATTTTACTCTGTCATAAGTATAATACGATAAATATAAGATTATTGTTTAACTGTTTTGAGTAGTATATTTAGGCCTTTAGCGAAGTTTTTACTCTTGCGGAAGTTGGTATGCAGATAAGATATTCCGATAAAATAAGAATATATAATAATTTATTCACACAATTTTACATTCAATGATTATTATTAAAGTTATAAGCCCATCTTAAATACATGGTTATGCATTTTTAAACGTGTACAGTTCACCCTTCGATTAATAAATTTAATGTCGAAACTGAAAAATATACTACTTGAAACTAAGATATTTTATGATATAGATCCTATTATATCACATAAATACCAAAAGTGAATTACCTTGAAAGTATGGAATCATGCGACACATAGCTTCACCAAAAACAAACTCTCGAAGTAGTGCACCAGCTAAAGTGAAAGGCATACAGAAAACTCCAAGTAGCAGATCACTGATAGCCAGATTCATCAGGAACACGTTGGTCACTGTTCTCATTCTCTTGTTAACTGCAAGGGTGATGATAACAAGCATGTTTCCTATAATAGCCAGCATTAAAATAATGCTGTACAATAGGATTAAACAGACTTTTTCTTCAATGCCTACTGAAGAAAGCTGGTTAGAGTTATTGTACAATTCGCTATCATTCGTCATTTTTGACGAGTTTGTTACTAGCAAGTGAGACTTTGAATTCATTGTATTGCCGATTTCAGACGTAGACGAGATGAAAACCACGATTACTTCACTTTAAGTTACTCACTCAGCTTTCACTGGAGCAGTATTCTTTTGTTACTAGTTTTCCACTTTATACTCTCTTGCCATTTGTTTCCGGTTTGTACTTGACAGCTATCTAATCTCTGAGAGATGGTCTTGAAAGAAACATATAAGAAAAAATTTAACTTGGCAAAGGAACAATTGTTTCTATTTTTACTTTGTCATTTTTAATTTATAAGACGCGAAAACAGAAGAAAAAGTTAGCCTAAAATGATATGTTACCGTCATTTAAAATATCCTCCTGCATCTTCAAAAGTGAATTATGGGATATAAAATCAAAGAATACTTATTGAACTATTTTATTTTAATGATTAATGTAAGTTATACTGCATGAATGAGAAAGGAACATTTGCGAAGAGTTGTAATTTTCGTTTGCTTATCCATCTATTTATTTGTAATATTTTCCTGGTGAGCCACAATGATGAAAAAATAAAACATATGTCAGCCAGAGGAAGAGTGAATAAACAGAGTTAATCTCAAAACAAAACATAAAAACTAATTAATCTTACAAGCTAGAAATAATAAAAAGATACAGTTTGGGGATAGATCTAAATCAAACTTCCAAAATGTAAAATGTAGTAAGGAATTGTTGTTGTTTGTTATTAAACACAAAGCTACAAAAAGGTATCGAAACCGTAAAAGTCCGCAGACATATCGCTTTGTTACTGGGGCACAACAAACAACTCAAATAACATGCATGAAAACAATTCAGTACAACACATAAGGAAATCAAGTAGTCAGGGAAAATGTTCCCTGAGATGTAATAAAAGTTAGTTACGTGACCTTAATATGGTTACAGAATTGAAATAAGCAAATAAATATTTATCCCCCATAAAGCCATAATTAAACTCTAGTAGCCCTACAGGAGAAGCATTGTATAATTGCAAAAAAATAAATTCTTAACATTAGGCGACATTGACAGAGTATGCAAAAAAATATTAAAGCAATCTTAAAGTTCTGAAGTTAAATAAATTTGAAGTAAATTTTATTCCAATGTACTGTGGTATTTGTTATCTCGAGACACAAGATTCTATTATATGAATAAATTCGGTAAAAATATAAATAATCAAAGCAATGTCATCTAGTTATGTTTTTGCAGAAGCATATACAAGAGTACAGACAAGTTTCTAAATGAATTGATGAAGAAGTTTAGTGAAATGTTCACTGAAGTAAAAACAGTACAAATAGTATCATTGCAAGAGAAGATTAAACCCGACTTAATGTTATTAAGATTTTTAAATTTCAACTAATTTTGAATAGAAAAAAAATAGTCAATAGAGCTCTATGGTAAATATTTATATTGAGAGAGTTAATTATAAATGTAAATTTTAGATAAGTTTGGCTGAAGTTTGAAATAGCATAAACAAAAGCAGTTATAGTCAGTGCTGTAAAAGTCTTCCATTTCCTTAAAAATATAATTTTGTCTATGGAATTATTATTTACCTCTCGAGAATTCAAAGCCTACTGATTTCACAAGTTAAAATTAATGATTTTCTAAAAATAGAAAACAAATAATATTTGTCTATCAGCAAAAGCGACCGCATTTCTAGACTTAAGACACATAAAATTACAACTAAACGTGTAAATACAGTAGATGATTGAAATCTGTACTAATCATATTTATCAAAATTCAAGGACCACAGACCTTTTTTATCGCCACACACTCAAAACTTGAAAGGACATACAACTAATTTAAACCACAGTCATATGTTGACTGAAAATGCTCCGAATTAAACCTACAATGTGCTGGAGTCATGATTGACCTTGTAAATGCTATTAGATGACTACAAGCTAACTCACGTAAGCATGCCAAACTTAACAGCATGAATAACAAAGCCACAGGAGATCGTTAGCCATCTTCTTTTCAAACTTTGGTCAGACTAGGAAAACAAAACATCATTGCCATGGCACAGAATGAATGTTATAGAAAACTACAGTTACTCAGAGACTAGAGCCTGCTATTAATTACAATTAATTTGAAGGGAAACTATTAGTATTGCAAAGGTATTCATTAGTACAATGTTCGTTATCATCATTAATTTACACAACCGACCATTGAGTAAATAACACAGGCCTGCGAATTTAAACTTCATAAAAGTTGTTTTGGTTTTAATAACGGATTTTCCATAAATCAGCTACGCAGATTTCGAAAATAATATTCATATTTTTTCTGTCACGTAAAGATTTTTTACAAATCGGGAAGAAAAATAACTCTTACGTAGATCAAATTATTATTTCGTTTACCACAATGAACATTTTTTATTATTATGTTTTTTAACAAAACTACAAACAAACGGAAGAAAATGGAAGAACATTGATGTAAAACGAATATGTATCCTCATTCATCCTGATTTTTGTGAAATATACGTCTTTTTGTCACAAACTTATTATGGTCTTTCTTTTATGCATTACGTTTGGAGCATCTCGTTTCAACGACCATCAGAAATCAGCCATCATGCTGATGTTCCACCTTCCCTGATACCTCATCTCCATTTCCCTGATGTCTTGATGAAACCTTTCCTCTTGTTATTCACTGACGGCAACGAGATTTTCAGGGAAATGGTCAATATGTGAGTATAAGAAATGAACTTTCAAACTCATATTACAACCCAACTCTTTGAATTTATCAAACATGTTATTGACAATATTTTAGTAATTTGGGTCCTTGTTGTTTCCTAAAAATATGTCAATAACATATTTAAAGGCAATCTACGCTTCTTTTTCAACTTTCCTCATTGTCCTCTCAAACTGTTCATCCGAAGTCAATTACCTAATCGGAGGCCCAACAAAAATCCCTGAAAGAGCTGGGAATTGTCCACATAGACAGTTGAAACAGTCGCCACGCAGGATCAGCCTGATACCAGGATCGAAAATATTGAACGTGAAAGTTTGATTGACACAAAGAAAGTCCTATCACCTTCACATAAAACTGAGCTTGATAAAGCAGTTTGTAAAGGCCTTAGACAAAGTTGGCCACTGCTTCTATATCCAGTGTTGATTTTGTGCTCTGCTGTCTCTTGCACACAGAAAAACATGTAAACTTTGTATAACCGGATTGTTGACCCAACAACATTCAAAGGACTTTTAAGTCTCCACAAAGTAGCCAACCATGTTCTTTGTATTTGATCTTATTAAGAACAAGTTCGAGATGTTCGTTCGTTTCCTTCAAGTGAACCGAATGAGCAATAAGAACAGATGCATATACGTTACCATTGTGAAAGATAACATCTTTTAGAATTGTTTTGCAGGAATCAATTAACAATCGCCACTCACTTGGTTCATAGACTGCAGCTCCTAGCATTGGTATTAATTCAGCAATATTGTTGTAATAAAGCAGTGAACCTTCTTGTGGAAAGTATGGTATAAACTCTTTCTCACGATTTCTGTACCAGTAAAATGATGTCCAGGAGAAAGTAAATTCTTAGCACGAAGTCTGGACCCCTAGATCTTAGAAAAATTTTATGGAAGGCCCAAATCTCTCACCAAATCATTAAGTTCACTTTTTATGAAAAGTTGTGGTTCAACAGACGTTCGGGTTGAAAACAATCCCTATCATCATTTCTATTGACTTCAGATTTAGATAAAATTATATCAAGAGTCTCTGGTGGAGTAGGTACAGGTTCATCAGGTCCACGAGCAACAGGTCTTATAACAGATTGAAGGTTCGGATAAGAAATTTCCTATTTATTTAGAGTGTTGTAGCCTTGCACGTTACATGAGAAAAAATAGCAGTCATCTCCGAGGTTTCTAGGCACACGCCAGACCATTGGAATTCCAAAAGATAAATACTTTTTTCTTACGTTCACTCCATTGTTTCAACTCTTCGACACAAAATGTTCAAACTTTTAGCGGAACCAATGATTTGGTTCTCAAGTTTTATTCCAAAATACGCGTAATACACTTTTTAACGAATTCTGTAATGTTCTGCCTTTGTTTCTCGATAAGGCTTTCACGTTGCGATTGGTCTAGAGAAATCTATAGCCAGTGGTTGTCAATATTTTAAGCATAACAAAATGTGTCCCGGTTTCAATGAAAATGGTTCATCAATGTAAAAGTACATATGACATTTTGTGAAAAATCTGTATGCGATGGAGAAAAATGGATATCATT